CTTCATCTTTCGGAAACACTTTGATTTTACGCAGATTAGCTGAAGATATTAAAAACGGTACAATATCATTGTATTTTGAATTTTTCAAATATAGACGTTCCAATTGAATGAGATTATTTGCCATTATTTCCATATTTGTTGCGTTTGAACAATCAAGAATGACCAATTCTTTGAGATTTGTGAAATGAAGTAATTCCCCGCTGAATCGTTGCACACAAAGTTTTTCCAATCCAGGGAATGAGGCCAATATACTTCCATCATTTGGATCGATACATTTAATGCAGTAATGCAATTTCTTATAAAATCCCCGTCCATGGAGCTCATGCAAAAAGTCGCCAATCGTTTGAATGCTCGGCGCTTCGAAACCGATGTATAACCATCGATTGTTCGGATTTTCGTTCACTCCTTTGATTTCGAGTGTGTCCAATTGTGCTGTCGATTCAATGAATAACCTGCGACTCTCCCAGAAACATTCCAAACTGGTCGAAAATGATCGAACGGTCGGATTGAGTTGAAGAAATTGACCTATTCCAACGATGGGCCCCAAATCAAATTGAATCAATTCAACATGCTCCAGCTTCGGATAGACTTGATTAAGCCATTTATGCCCCAGCTGATCTACATACACAAAGTGAATACTTTTCACATTTTCACAAAAACTTAAAATTTTATCGACATCGTTATACATAAAACTGTGTCGTATTTGTATGCTTTCAACTTTGGCCAAAAGAGTTTTGATTTTTTTAAACTGGTCTGCCGATAACTGAACTCGGTGCACGAATAAATGCTTCATTGACTGAAATGTGAATTTTTCAAGGTCATCGACGTTTGAAAGCGTAATATACCCAATGTATTGCTTGAATCCGGACACCAACGTTTGATCTTCCACTTCGCTGTAATAATAATGGTAGTCATCGTTTTCACTCTGGAAAAATAACGTATAAAATCCATCTTTTGTTTTGGCTATTGAAACTGCTGAGTAATTTTGCTTGAAGTACTCGCCGGCCACTTTGTTCATTCGCTTGCATGTCTGACCGAATGAATGCAAGTCTTTCAGCGATAAATATTCAAATATCTCGTCAAAACAATCGATCGACAGCTTGAAAATTTCTGGTGAAGGTTTTTGACTTGTGGAACCCATTGGTGAAATGTCGATACTCTCCGGTCTGTTTTTGATTTGGAACATTTTTGTGAAAAATTTCAACATTTAAAAGCGATGTGGAACTGCTTAATTTATGAAATGACAACAGGATGGCTCCCTGAAACAAAAAAGAAAAAAACACAAGAGAAATCAAATAAAATCATGTCAATGTTGAAAAAAATGTGAAAATTCAGTAATTGAAAGACTTTACTTGGATCAAACGACAACTCAATGATGATTTATTCCAAAAAATACCACAAGGTACTCAATATTTAACAGAATTTTATTAAAATCATCAACAAGTTCTTTATATGCGCATTTTACACCAAACACTTTGCTCTGGAATGGAATGGGTGACAGATCTATTCCAGTTTTGTATTCCAATTTGACACAACAGTCATAGACATTTGTACAAAGTATACGGTGTGTGATGCATTCGACGAATTGCGTTGTGTATACATGATTTCCCCTTTTTACTCCTTCTTGGAACTACTCTGGGTGTTGTTTGTAAACAAATTTTGAGTTCATGGGAAAAAAACAAATTGAATTAATGGCGATGCATATTCACAAATTCCTTTGGGCCGTGGATAATCCGCGTTTTTTTTTTCAATATAATTATTTCATATTCCTCTTCTTCGATTTCCAATTTTCGGTGGAAATTGAAAATGAATAGAAAAAAATAAATGCATGTCAATCCTGTGATGTTTCTCAATTTTCAGAAATTGCCAAGAGTAATATTTTTATGAATATTTTAAGTTTTGAAAAAAATTTCACACTTTACAAAAGTCAGTTAGAGAAAAAAAAATAAAAAAAAACTTCAAAAAAGAAGAAAAATAAAAAAAGTTCGGTGCCAACGACACATGGTGTTCCCAGACGGTCACCCATTCAAGTACTAACCATGCTCAATGCAGCTTAACTTCAGTGATCGGACGAGAACTGGTGCTTTTTACATGATATGGTCGTTGACGAATGTATACCGTTCATTTGTGAAGACCTTTTATTTCAATTTTTGTTGAGTTTCATTCGACGACAAATCAGTAATTCTAAATGACTTTTGAATTTTATTAAAATCGTTTCGTTGAACGTGTAATAAAATTAAAACGAAATGTTAAATTCGATCAAAAATAGATACTTCATATTTTACGCACTAGCGAAAAAAACACGAAATATTTCCTTAAATATACGATTTTAATGATTCGAGCTTGAATGGAATACGTACGCAATGAAAGCACTGAATCAAAATAAACCCACTCAAACTTCATTACTATTCAAAAAGAACTTGACTGCGATTTAGCTTGCGTGCGTTATGTGTCACGTTAAGACGTCACAAGTCTAAATGTGAGAACAAGTCTTTAAATTGGAATTAAGAGAAGACGGTTTTTTCCGTTTTCAGTTCACAAAATGCGTATGTTCCGTTTTTGGAATACAACTCGTTTCGTTCCGCATAGAAATATCTCGGTTTTATTTTAAATCGATTCAGATCAAATTTTGTTTTGGAAACTATTTGTTCAAAATTAACGATCACATTATCACCGTTGAAAGTGATTTTTTTACATTCAAAATTTTTTTCCGTTTTTTTAGTTTTTATTCTGAATTGAAATCTAAGCGTTTGATACGAAATCTCGTCGAAAGTCCACAAAGTTTACCGCGAATCACCTCGAATATGACGTTGAATTCCATTATTTACGATTTCACTCAATTTATGATTGAAAAGAATCTTTGGCAACAATTCATACCCGAAATTATTTTCATTTAAAAAAAAAACCATTTGGTTTAGCAATGACCATTTTTTAATGTTTCGAAAATTAATCCAAAAAATCATAGAAATTCATCTCAACGTCAAATATATCAAAATTTATTCAGAAATACATAAAAAAATTGGTTATTTTGATGATTGTTCGCTAAACGCTTCATACATTTCTTACAATGTGTCAGTGTGTCTGACGGTAATTTTTTTTATATCCAAAACGAATAGCGCGCAATAACACTATTTCGTGTGAGCACAGCTACTTTTGATCGTGCATGAAACGAAGTGATTTGTTGTGGAATCATCAAAATCCGGCAACATTATTCAATTTTGTATCAACATTATATATTTGCTAAATAAATGCCTCAAAATAGACCTAATCGGATGACATAATCCATACTTGATATTGACCCCCAATTTTTTTATATGAGCCGAATGAAAAACCGGTTATTTGTTCGGCATTTCTCTCGCATGCGTATCGGTAATCTTCTGATTAGAACGATTTGAAAAAAACATGAATTTAGAATAAATTTGTGCGGAATTCAAAACGAAATTCGACGTAATTTATTCAATTTATAAATGAATGAAACTAAATATGGGCAATACTAAATAGAATCAATCAATTCAGGTCTTTTAATTGTGTACCTATGAAGAAAAATGCAAATCGTTCGTTCAACCCATATTGAAAATGTCGAAATCCAGTTTTTTTCACGCAAAACTACCGAAATTGAACCAACGAAATTTGACTCTTTTGTTTCGATGATTTCGAGCAAAATCTCTTCTTCATTCGTGTCCATTTAGAATATTTAAATAAAATGAAAACCAAACAGGTTACCAACGACGATCAGGTTGAATTTAATTCATGTAATAATTATCTAATAATGCGCGGTGCGAGCACATCATACATGGTGGTGAAATATGGTATGGCAACAGTTAAGAATTCTTTTTTTTAAATGAAAATATGCCATCGAAAATTGTCACACACTTGGCACGTGAATTAATAGGCGGTATAAAAGACCAAGAGAAGCATGAATCTAATTCAGTTAACTTAAGTCGATTGTTCGGGTTACGTGGATACTTAAAAAAAAAATATTGTCACCATGTTGAAATCGGTGAGAAGTTTTGTGTGGAAAGGCGATATTCTGTGTTTGCAGTGAATTTTAATTTAAATGTGATTTTTTTCTGATTTCGAATTGATAGGTTGCCATTGTTTTGCTTATTGTTTCGGTTGCATCAGCCAATCCAGCTTTCTTGAAATCACTCCTTTCTGGCGGTGGTTCAGGCGGTGGTTCAGGCGGTTTGGGCAATTTGAAAAGTAGTTTGTTCGGTGGTTTAGGCAGAAATTCAGGCTCATTCGGAGGTTCAAGCGGTTCATCAAGCGGCTCTGCTCAAGTTGTTCAAGTTGAATATTTACAAGCACCACAACAGCCAGCACCAGTACAATACTCACAAGCACCACAACCACAACAAGTACAATATGCACAAGCTGCCCCAGCACCTCAAGTTGTCCACGTCCAAGTTGAACACGTCTCAGCACCACATGTTCAAGCTGCAGGTAAAATATAGATGTAGAAAAAAAAACAATAAAAAATCAGTTATAAAAGCCAATTAAGTAATCAAATCTAACTACACGATTATTCAACAAGAATAAATAGTAATTCATTTAAAAAAAAAAATCTTATATAAAAAGTGCGAAAGAGTATGTCACCAAATCAAGATCTTTTCGATAATTTTGAGTCAATACTTTTAATAATCGACAAATTGATTTTTTAATTTAAAAAAAAAATTATTTATATAAAATAGCTCCTGCCGCAGTCAACTACCAACAAGCCCCCGCTGCCGTCCACTACCAACAAGCACCTGCTGCCGTCCATTACCAACAAGCACCAGCAGGTATATAAATTTTACAATTGATTTACAATAAAGAAAACTGTATAAATCACGGAAAAATTTCGCCAAATACGTTTTCATGTGAAAAAGCGTCAATATGAATTTTGCCACAAAAATTACATAAATTTTTCTTTCGGAAGGCAAAACATTTTCTTCGCATTTCGCATTTAAAATATAACATATTGTGAGAGATTTTTGTCCAAAGATATATTTGGTGACATTTTATTCCGGAAAATCCAATCACGGGACATAGAAATAATTGATTTTTAATTTAAAAAAATATAATTTTGTATTCAAATAGCTCCAGTAGCACCTCAAATCCAATACTTCCAAGCACCAGGTAAATGATTTGAATAATTTTGACATTAAATTTCTAAAAATAAAAAAATAATTTCGATTATATTTATGACACACATAATGGTTGGCTTGATTTAATCAATGCTATTATGCTATAGTTGAATATTGTTAAAACGCATAAATTAATTATTTTATATGATTTTTTTTCTTTTTTTTAAATAGCTCCAGTACACTACCAAGCAGCTCCAGGTATATACACATAAATTAAAGCGAGTCAATCCAATAAAATTGTGTTCGTAAGAATAAATATGACACGGAACACGGGATAAAAACGGAATCTGAAGAACGTTACATAAATTTTTGTATTGCCATATTTATTCTTACGGACACAATACAATATCATCATACTACGACAAAGAAAAATTAGATAAATTCAGCATAAATCACAGTGCAATTTTACCAAATATATTTTCACGTTAAAAAAAATTCTCGCTATTTCTCATAAAAGTCTTCATCATGAATTGTGAAACATTTTCAATATTTACTACCAAAAATATTTTTTTTTAAACACAAAACATTTTTCACCTTTAAAATGAACTGTGAGGCACTTTCACGTGAATTTATATTTGTTGTGTCTGGGGCAATTTTCTCATTTGAAAATACATCAATTGATATAATTGAGTATTTAATTAATAAAAAAATTAATATTTTGAACAGCTCCAGTAGCTCAAGAACCTCAAGCTCACTACGTCCAAGCTGCAGGTAAATAGATTTATGTCTGAAATACAAGAAATCGCATGAATAAATTAATCAAACCTAATCACACTATTTCACGAATGTCAATTTTAAAGTTTTTAACCCAAATTTTGATGAACTGCATAAATTTCTTTTAAAAATGTGTCATAACAGTCAATAATTTTACGATGCAAAAATAATGTATAAAAACACGAAATTTTTTCTTCTCTTAAAAAATAGCACCAGCTCCAGTCCATTATCAACCAGCCCCAATCCAATATCAAGCACACACTTCAGGTATTCTACAGACTTTTGGTTAAGTTGTTCTAGAATTATTGAATGGTTTAATTTAGTTTGAAAAAAAAAATATGATTATAAATTTCGAAACAAAATCACGTGTTTTCTCTTTGAAATTAGTTGCTGCTCCACAAGTTAGTTATGTGCCACCACCACCAGCCGCCCCAGTTGCAGCCGCACAAGAATTTGGTGGATACCATTATTCAGCCCCATCCGTAGCCACACCAACATCGGTCAAAACATTCATCATCCAACCAGTTTCAGCTAGCGGATCAGTCGGAGCTAGTGGACCATCAGGAGGATTCGGAGCCAGTAGTGGTTTCTTCGCTGGTTTGAAATCTTTGAAATCATGGTAAATCGCTGTGAAATCATTGAAAGAAAAAAATTCGTTGGAATAAAATAAAAAAACCTTTTAAAAAAAAGTTGAGTCGTTTCATTTCAAACGTATAGAAAACAAGGGGGGTTGACGTATATGAGATTGGAGACTTTTTTTTGCGAATCTCGCTAATGAGCGCCATCTGATTTTAGTGTGAATTAGATGCAAAAATCAAATTTATTTCAATAATTTGGAATGTATTTGAATGTTATAGTTTCAACACAAAAATTGTATTAAAAATCATTCAAGTAAATCAAATTGAAATTAAATCAATTAAAAATCATTGTACACACACATAAAGCATATAAAATAATACAACTAAATTATAAATACTCACACCATTCTATGGGAACCTAACAAAATCGTATTATTTCAAATTAGAATTATTTTTATTTCATATAAATGATTCTATTTATTTTTTCAAATTCATTCTATTAGAATTATAAATAAATAAATTTCTATTTATTACAGAAAATAATGATTCATTATTAATGAAACAGAAAAAATTCTCCACAATGTGAAAATACGAAGTTACGTATATATTATGACAGCTGTGGTTACGTATACGTCGACATTAATAATCTGTCAAAACCGTAAACACATTATTTTCATAACGCAATTTTGCGATAGTTCCTATTAGT